TGCCAGTGGGAGAAAGAACAGGACACAGAGATTTCCTAAGAAATACATATTCTTCTCTTCTCCCTATACATGGTGTAAGGGTGTGGTGGTAAAGTTATTAATATTTCAGATTTGAGAGATCTGGCTCAGAAGTTTATTGTAATCAGAACATGCCTTGCAACTCAAAGCTAACAGTCTCTGACTGTTTCCAACTGCTTACTTCAGAGCTAAGATAGTACTGTATGGGCCACTCCTATAGGCCACTCCAAGAGCCATCTCTCCATATTGTTATTATTTGATTCCTTCTTAGGATTGTGGCACTTGGCAAGCATCCTGGGAATAAATATCCAGCTTTACTAGCATTGAAATTACTGTTTTCCTCATCTCTTTCTTTTTTTTTGGAAACAACATATAGGCTGGATCTCTGCACTTTGCAGATAGCAGGAGAGCAGAGGGAAAGTTGCTGTCTCAATGTCCTCTAACTATAATAATGGTTAGTAAAGCTTCTGTCTATCTCTGCACAGATAGCAGGGGAGCAGAGGGGAAGTTGCTGTCTCAATGTCCTCTAACTATAATAATGGTTAGTAAAGCTTCTGTCTGGCCTGTCCTTAATTGCATTTGGGTTATTAGGCACTTGGAGGTCCCAGGTTCTCAGACAAGGGACAGGTCTGAGCCCTCTGCACTGTCGCCACCAGCTCTGTCACAACATTGTGCCATTAGGACAGCCACAAGGGACATGAGGGACCTCACTAATGGAGTGGTAGAAAGATGTCCCATGGTAGTATGTCAGTTGCTCAAGAGCAGCCACCTCTCTGGTTTGGCTCTTTCACTTCCTTACCCAACAGAAGGAATGGGAAGGGCCTCAACCACTGCCTGAGCCCCCACAGAGCATCCTTGCAAAGTGCACTCAGCCAGTGAACCCAACAGCACTACCTCATCTCTGCCAACCGAACTCTCCATAAAACAACTAGTTCCAGGTGGCATCCAACTGGAAAGGGGTCAAATTTGTAAACCTTAACTTGCCACAGCACTGTTGAGGAGGAAAGCAGTTGAGCAGCAGTTGCAGTTCTCAGCACCCAGGGAGGATTCACATCACAATAGGAGCATGATGGGCATTTTTTTTAACAAAGTCTTTAAAAGCAGTACTTGCCAAGCATCACAATATTTCTCAGTGATATTGAGGGCCTTTGGCAGCTGCAATTTAACCATGAAGGAACCTGATGCAGGCAAAGGACCACACAGCTGGAAATTTGTATTGCAAAGGCACCATTTTATGGCTGTTAAGCTGTTGGCTTCTCTTCGTTGTAAAGCTGTTAAAGAAACACAGCCCTTGGCTCACACCATGTGTTGGTGAGGCACAGTGTTTTGACAGGCGTGGACTGATGGCAATAGAGGTTTCAAAAGAGCTGTGAAGAATTAGAAATAAGGACAGAAGGAAAGTTCAGGTGGAGGAGGAAATGCGTGTTATCCACCACAGCCCCATGCTGGGAGAAGGTGGTCTTG